AAAAATTAGAGTGAGAGAAAAATTGCTAAAAATGAAGAAGAGTTTACTCAAAGTTTGGAAATGAGGGCTAAAAAGTAAAAAAAGCAGATAAGTTCGGCCGGGCTGAACATTTGAAGACGTTGACCTGCATAAGTAATTTTTGTCATAGGCTGTAGTACCGATTCCGAACTTTAAATACTAAATTTGACACGATTCCGGTGAATAATGTCGCTAATATCATCAAAATACCGAGTAAAGGGAGGTACTATTATATCTGGACTATACGAAGACGTTGACCTTCATTTTCTTCAAATTTCTGTCATAGGTTGTAGAACCCATTACGAACTTTGAATACGAAATTTTAAAAAATTCCGGTGGATAATGGCACTAAAATCATCAAAATACCGTTATATGGGGGCTATACGAAAATGTGGACCGACAAACGTGTACAAAATTTTAGCCTTCTATCTCAATTCGTTCGAAAGATGTCGTAATTAAAACGGACAGACAGACAGCAGACAGACATCGCTAAATCGACTTACAATTTTACGCTGATCCGTACAGCGAGCAGCTTCAGCGCATCAAAAATTACACTGGCAATAGCCTTAAACGTAATGCTGAGCATTGCTCGGGCCGAATGTAGCATACAGTACCAGGTTGCAGTAAGTGCGACGAGGCCATTAGAACAGAATATGTTGCGCAAGGTCATAACAGCCTGTTGGACTTTCCAAGAGCTGATGTTAAATTTAACCCTATTGAGCGGATGAGAGATTATATATCTCCAACCATTAGGTTTGACCGAATTGAGATACAGATTCCAAGCAGAGATGAGACAACCTCTAATGGGTCTGCCCATGACGCGTCAAAAATTGAGCAACTGGGAATGGACTACTCCTACAAGTAGGTGTTTTCCAAGCAGGGATCTTTGCTGTGGCAGAATTGATTAAAGCCATGGAGAATGAAATAACTGAACCGGTGACTATTAATGTGAATAGCCCAGCGAATATTCTACAATCACTTCCAATGCAGTCCTGAAATGTAGAATGGCTCTGGGAGATCTGCACACTACTATCCGGCTATGCTGGGTGCCTTGAATGAAATGAGAAAGCCAATGAATTGGAAAGGATGGATTCGACTCATGATCTCAGTGTACATTCAGACACCGTTCCCATTGTCATCTATAACTTCGTAAAATGTCTTTACTGGATCGGACTCTATTCGACACGTTTTTCCTCATCTTTTTTGACCTATTTACCAATGGCGAATATATATATACTTGTATCAATGTTTCCACAAAAAAATGGATCAATTTTTCTTTGGACCATTTTCGAGGTGATGACTGTGAGTGTCCTGAAATTTCTTTTTAGGTAAAATATGTCAAAGGAAGAAATATTTTTTACAAAATTTCACTATAAATCTCAGAATAAACTATATATCTAGGTGCAATAGTTCTTATGAAAATTACATTCAAGGCCCTTATATAGTTTTGACCATATACACAGAGACCCCTATAGTTTGGAGATATATTTTACAATATTTAGGATAGAGCTTTGAAATTTGATAGAGATCTTTAAATTACATCCAGAATTATTACAACAGAAAATGGGTCGTATCGGTCCACCGTTTTAAGTAGCTTTTTACGTTTAAGCCATGTTTTCTATTTACACTGTCTCTGGAAATTTGCGACCTTCATAAAATTCAAATAGCTTCAATATATTCCAATCATACTATATGTCTAATTAGTTGTTCTTCGACAAAGCCTTACCCCTAATTGTATTGTTAAAATTGATTAAATGTCTAGGTAGATCCATTTCATACTTTGATTTCATTCAAGACAAATTGGTCGATATTATAAAAAGGTCACCTTTCTCTCTCATGCGTTTTAAAAATTACGTTGATAACCCGAGGTGCCAAAAAATTGTTAAAAAAAAAAGAAATCCTGCAGATAATTCCAAGAAATTTGCAATATTCAATTAAATATTTATTCTGAACAGTGACGTATATAACACAACAAATATGGAGATACTAATGCAAATGATTTTTAGTGGTTTCAATATTTTTAATACAATAATTTAATGGATTTTATGTTATTTTTTTTCTTTTGATGCTATAATCCAATATATAATCTGTCTAAAGTCCATATTTTGTTTCGAACAACAAAAACAAACAAACAAATAGCATCTATACAAAATAAAATCACACGTTCACTCAACTCCATGTGATTCAAATTAATTTTTCTTTTTCAGAATTTTGTACATCATAATCATCATCATCCGCATCATGATTATAATTCTTCGTCATCAAAATCACATCATCTGCGTCTATATTTACTATTTTGTGGTAATTTATTGGATGGCAATAAATATTATTTGATTGCCTAATCAAAATGAGACAAAATTGTATTATTTGGAATCGAATGATAGATTCAACCCATAAGCATTTTAATACGCTACAACATCCGACGGAGGACCTCTACCATAGTGTGGAGGGTATATTAATCCTTTTGATATAATAAAGAATATATATTATTGATCAGCGTAAAATTATAAGACTAAACAGGATCATCTTTCCGTATTCACTCTAACTTTAGATGGAATTGATCCGGATGGCTAAAATTTTGGCAATACGCATTTTCTATGTGAAAACCTTACGGAATTGAAAATTGGGTATATTGGTCCACAATTTCGGCAGCCACATTTTCAAAATAATTGTTTGAAATTCAATAAAATAAATAATATTTATACTTCGAATACTGTAATTTCGGCGCATACAGACAAAGTCTTTTTAAGGTACTACTTTTTAATTGTTGGACGGTATAAAAAGTTCTGCCAAACCGAACTTAAATGCTTTTTTTCATACCCTCAGTCATATGGCTACAGAGGGTATGTATCATTCATTTGATATGGCCTCATCCATATAATGGCTTTAGATTAGATAGATCTCTTTGGACAGTTTTGAGATTTGGAGTCAATCTCGGGGTGTCCGTACGTCTGTCTGTCTGGTTGGCTGATGTGCACGATAACTCTCGAAGGAAGTATCCAAACGTGGTACATCGTAATGTTATTGTCAAACTTAGATCGAGTTCGGAGATGAGCAATATTGGTCCACTCCTTCTGGTACCATATGGAAAAAAAGGATCACCCAATACCATGCAAACTTTGCAGATCCCAAAATTCTTATCAGTGCTACGTCAGTTGTGAAAATGGACAATATCGGTCCACTTGTACTTGAAGGACCTTCCCCATAAAGGGTCAAAATTTGCAATATTTATTAATCTAATAAAATATGAAACAAGAGTCTGATTGTCTTCAAATTTCGCCCATCCTAATTTTTCTACAAACACACAGACGGAATATATCGAACTATTGCTTCCGGTACCTGGGTCCCACAATGGGTCACAATTTTAAATAATTTTAACTACCATAAAATGCGAAATAAGCTTCCTATTTGTTTTAAATTTCACGCATGCCGATTCCACTTGGCAAATCTCAATATCATTATCAACACAAGATCTGCTGTAAAGAGATCGGAGACCGGACCATTCCTTCTGGTACTTGCCCCACAAAGGGTCAAAGTTTCGAATAACCAAAACGATTATTAAATCCGAAATAAGCATCCGAATCTCTTCATATTTCACACATCCCATTATTTCTACTAACACAAGATCTGCTGTGAAAATGGGATATATCGGTCCACTCCTTTTGATACCTCCCCCACAAAGAGTCAACATTTTGAATAATTATAACTCTTATAAAATGTGATGAAAGAGTCCGGTTCCCCTCGAATTATACACATTACAATATTTTCATTAACCCAAGGTCTGGTGTGAAATTGGGATATATCGGTCCACTCCTTTTGGTACCACCACCACCAAAGTGTCACAATTTTGAACAACAAAGCGCTCATAAAACGAGGAATTAGCATCCAACTCTCTTCAGATTTCACACATTCAAACATTTTTGCAAACTTAAAATCTGTTGTGAGGATGATAGATATTTGCCAACCCGTTCTGGTACCTCTTTAATTACAAAGTGTCACAATTTTAAATACTTATAACTGTCATGACTTGCGAAACAAGTCGGCGATTCTATACAGCCTGCTATATCTAAATAGAAATCTGATATGAATATGTAATTAATCGAATTGCACAATATTAGTTAACTGCTGCGGAACCTTCAACAATTCGAATAATCATAACTTCAGCTGGGGGTATACATCTGTCGGATAAACCGACTGATACTATTTAACTAGTTTTTAATGGTTATTTTAGTAAGAATTTTATATTAGACGTTTTTCTTTTTTTTTTGTCAAAAAATCCTTTAAAAAGAAGAATATATGTGTTTTTCTATTTGAGTTCTTATTGTTTATTATGTGTTTGTACAGCAAATTCCAAATGTCAAACCGCTATGATAAATTAACCAACAAAATAACGTTGTTTTGATTTAATTTTAAAATATATAAAAAATGCATACAGCACTCTCAAAATATTATGTTATTTTAGAAAATTAAAAAAACGACGTGAGAATTTCAGATCACTTTGTTTTGGGATCTTTGAGGAATCTATTCCCCTAGAAACAGGCAATTAAAAGTAGAGGATTGTTTCTTAGACAGCTTTTTCTCCAACAAACGTATTAAAGTATTTCTTTCACTTGTTTTTTGTGGGTGTTCACAATTTAAAATTTCCTTGTTTTTTTTTTTTGAAATTTCTTTCTTCACTTCATTTTTTATGTATTGAAATTAAGAGTAAAATCTTTTGTTTTTGTTTAACTTGTGTTTTGATTTTTTTCTCCATCATAGCTGCGGATTACACCTTTCTTCGATACTATTCTTCTTTTTTTCTTTGGTGTGCTTGAAATTAATCAATATTTTTATTGTATTTTGCATATTTTTTTTCATCTTCTTCACTTTGGAACACAATTTTCGTAGTAGAATATTGTATATATTATATTATTACTTTTGTTTTTGTTACTTTTTTTTTTTTGCTTTCTTTAATATATTTTCATTTCTCTTTGTATATTTACAATTTTCATTTTTAAATATAAATATTCAACATCATCAACACAATCACCATTATCTCTGTTTTGGCTATAATATAAATATGAAAATATATCTATGTATGTGGTATAGTATAGCAACAACAACAACAAGACAGCATTTTATATGTACATCGATTTATCACTATGTTGTTTTTGTTTGAAAATTTTCTTTGATTTTTTTCAACGCGTCTTGGCAATTTTCCTTCGATTTTATTTTGCAACGTTTACGCCGTATAGCACTTGGTATACTGATCGTCCATATAAACGATCTTTGTGTTTTTTGGTAGCTGACTCGATTTTTCCTTGCACATATCTACTCTCCGCTCCGCTCATTGTGTGTATAATTTCTTGGAAAGCTTTCGAAAATTTGCGTAAAAGCTTTGTTAGGTCTATTTTGGAATTCTCTTTAAAAATGAACGGGAAAATTCTCTTAATTAATTCTCTTTTAAGAGATTTCTGTAAGGATGGGATTTATTGAACTTAATACATTCTAAATCAGATGAGTTATGGAACCGAGGGCAATATGATACCTATAACATTTTAAATCTCTTCTATGAATGCGAAACACTTATTAGGTCATTAAATTCCTAAAACTGAGAACTTGGAATACATGTCAAAACCCTGTACTGACAACCACATACCCTCTGCATTACCATGTCTCAAAAACAATGACAGCTACATACCCTCTGCATTACTAATAAGCTAAAAAATGGATTATTCCCATAAAATATCGAGGCAAAATAATTAAGTACAGAATTACGAAAAAACGAAGAGTTTGCCGACGCAAATACACGTGGTTAAAAAATTCGTTTTTTTCTTTTTATGCCCTCCGCCATGGTATAAAGGGTATGACATAGTATATAAGGTTGTCATTCCGTTTCTAACGCCTCGAAATATACATTTTACAAACTATATATATTCTTAATCAGCATCAAATTCTACGTTTATTTAACGTTGTCCGTCCGTCTGTCCGTCAATGGAATTCAATCTAGCTTCTGAACGATCGAACGATTCATATAGGACCCATTAAAACGATAACCCGCATATTTGATTGTTTTTAGCAGTAACGGTTTTTTTTTAAATTTAAAAATTTCTTCCAAGTGGTGGATGTTTTAAACCCTCCACCTTTGAAAGGAGGGTATATTAACTTTGTCATTCCGTTTGGCCCGGCCGAACTTAACGTTTTTTTACTTGTTTTGCTTTTTAACTTGTTCTGTTGTTTTTGTTTTTGAGCTAATATATTGGCTTCTATTGCCCATTTAAGGAGTTTGGATTCTGGTGTTTGTAAATAGTTACATGTTCAGTAAAAAGTAAAATGTGACAAGGAAATTTAAAAACACGTAAAAAAGCGGCCGTGCCGAATTTTGAATACCAAAAAAAGTAAATAAATAATTAAATAAATAAAAAATATATAACATCCGTTAAGAATTCTCTTAAAATCTTAAAAATACCGAATGTAGCTTTTATATTAGGGTCTATACGACGACGTGGACTTGTATAGGCAACATATGCCATTACAATATTCCAACGCGAAACTTGAAAAATAATCGGTAAATAATGTACCTAACATCATCATAATACCGAATATATAATATATGGGAGCAATGCCAAAACGGGGACCTGCATAGACAATTTCCTGTCATAGACTGTAGTATCTGTTACGGACTTCAAATATCAAACTTTAAACAATTTTGGTGAATAACGTCGCTAAAATCATAAAAATACCGAATATCGGGAGGTACATTTATATGAGCGCTATACGAAGACGTGGACCTGCACAGACAATTTTCTGTGATAGGCTGTAGTATCCATTACGAACTTCGAATACCAAATTTAAAACATTTCCGGTGAATAATGCCCATTCAATAAAATGCCATTATACGGGGCCTATACCAAAACGTGGATCTACATGGCCCATTTTCAATACCAAAATTCCTCCAGACATAATATAAATTTGAGTAAAAATTTATCAACGTACTTCATTTCGTTCGGAAGCTAGAGTAATTTCCACTGACGGACATCGCTAAGTCCACATAGAAATTTATGCTTTGGGGTCTGTTTATATATAATATTATTATCAAACTTAGATCGAGTTCGCAGAGTGGCAATATCGGTCCACTCCTTCCGGTACCTCACCCACAAAAAATATATATTTTGCTGAAAAGAAAGAGAAAAGATAATACGATATTGCTCCAACTTTTCAAATGCTTATATTTGCATCAGAGCTAGGTCAAGTGTGAAAATGGACAAGATCGGTCAACTTCATAAATTACCACCACCACCCCCACAAAGGGTTAACATTTTGAATAATTATAATTATTATAAAATGCGGCATAAACGTCCGATTGTCTTCAATCACAATACTTTCATTAATCCAAGATCTGTGATGAAGATGGAATATATCAGTCCACTCCTTCTGGTACCTCACCCACAAAGTGTCAAAATTTTGAATATACATGAAGATCATAAAACGCAAAATTAAGATCCGATTTCATTCAGACTTGGTACATCATAATATCTTCATCAACACAATATCTGTTATAAAGATGTTAGATATCGAACCATTTCTTCTGGTACCTCCCCTACAAAGGGTAAAAATGTTATATTACCAAAACAATCATAAAATTCGAAATAAGGTTCGAGATCCCTTCATATTTCACCCATCCGATTATTTCTGCTAACACAAGATCTGCTGTGAAGATGTATATATAGGCGCACTTCTTCTGGTTCTCCCCACAATTTTGAAAAACAAAACGCTCTTAAATCGCGAAATAATCATCAAACTCTCTTCAAATTTCACACAACCTAACATTTTTTGCTAATTAAAGATCTGTTGCAAAGATCATAGATATCTGCCAACACCTTCTGGTACCTCCCCTACAATGGGTCATAATTTTCAATACTCATAACTTGCGAAATAACTCAGAAATTCCTAAGAACTTGCTGTATTTAACTATTTTTTTTTAACAACCAGAAACTTTTTGATCCGGCATACATTTGGATAAAAACTCTCGATTTTCTTTATCTGCATTAGATGAAGTGTAAAACGAAATACTTCGCGAATAGAGTGAAGGTAATAGTCGATATAGTCCAAACATGGCACGTCGCAATATATATATTATATTTATTTAGGTCCGATACGAAATGGAAAATATTGGCCAACTCCTTCGGCACCTTCTACATAGATGGTCAACAGTTTGAATAATCATAACAGAAGTCAAAATACTTTTAAATTATCGAACATTAGCTGAGGATATGCATCTGTTGGCAAAACAGACTGATACTTTTTAACTTGTCTGGATGCATATTATGGCTTTAGGGCAGTTATAATTTAGAACCGGAGGGAACTAATATATGTGAGGAATATTCAACTCTGAATCGATTTCCACGAAATTTGATGTGTCTCATCAAATCTGACTTCGATAGGGATTATATTAAAAAAAATTTTTGGAAAAATAGGGAACCGAACCATTTCGGGTTATCAGGGCCCACCCTACGTGCGTCCGTGATCTGGGAGTTATATAAAAATGTATATAAAATTTTTTGTAACCCCTCTAGGAGTCCGAAATGTGAAATTATAGCTGACTTCTAATCAGAAATGGGGTGTAAACCCGATATTTGTATGAGGTACTATTTGGCCGTTGCAAATGATTCGGAATAAGTAGAGATCGGTTCAGATTTGCATATAGCTCTCACATATATCCTTTTCCAATTAAAATACTCTAGAAGTATCTCAAATGTCGATTCATTTAAAAAACAATGCAAACACATTTAACTCAATAACTTATTAAGGAGACAGATGAAAAGAGCGAAAACAATCAACACGTGTATCTGTCTGAATCCCGAATCTCTCTAATGATGTTTTCTTCTTAAGAACGTTTCGTACACAATGTAGGAGCATGTTCTTAATATTATTTATTGTATTGAAGATGTACTAATTGCAGAAAATCAATAAATCCAAGTGACGTCACACCAACGTATTTTTCCGAAAAAAAACCAAGAGAAATAATAAACAAAAACAAAACGAATTATTTGCCAAAGTAGAATACGTAAAAACTGTATAATCAAATAATGGCTTAAATGCAATGAGAAACAAAAACAAAAAAAAAAACAATACATATTGTTTCTTTCATTTGGTAGGTATATTAAACAAAGTAACATATGACTGTATTCTGTGGTTTACGGAAGTAAAGTGTGTCTACACGCGGCAACTATTAAATACTAGATTGAATTTCCACTATTTTCAAGTGTTTGAATATTCATTCTGGCGTGGGGACATTATACAATTACAAGGTGGTATAGTTTTCAACTATTTCAGTACGGACTTAAGGTTATACAAAATATATTAAAATCAACGAAGTCAGTACATTCGAATTTAAGCCACCGATTTGCTTCGGTATCATTTCCGTTAGAAAATGTGTCTAATACTATCAGAATAAAGAATAACCGGATGTACCTTTATATTCGGGCTATAGAAGAACGTAGACTTATGCGGACATTGTTATGCCACAAAGGAAGAACCCAACGAGAACTTAATACCGAATTTCAAACAACTTTTGTTGAAACTTAAGCTCAAATCGTAAAAATACCGAATATTGGGAAAATGTGGACCGATGTCGCTTATGCAATTTTACCGTTTTCATAGAATTTTTATTAAACACGAATGATTTTGAAAAAATTATTTATTGGGGATATATTTGCTAAATAAGACATTTTAAATTGATAACATTTTGCTTTTCAGAAATCATATATAACGTTGGAATATCAAGTCTCAATAATTGTGGAGGATATCAGAACTTCCTCCCCCGAAACTCGAAAAAAAGGTTAGGTGCCAAAGTTTACAATATTGTTCTGATACCACCTAAAGAATAAGCAAATAATAGTCGTGATAATAGTTAACGATGGTCCAAACTTTTTATGTTTTTATACCCTACACCAAATAGTGATAAGGGTGTTCTGTCTTTGTGCGTTTTTTTTTTGTAACATCGAGAAGGAAGTGAGATAGACCCATAGTTACTCATGAGGATCTTCATAAAATCACTTTCTGAGTCGATTTGCGCATGTTAGTCCGCCTGACCGTCCGTCTGTCCATATATTATTGTGAACAAAATGCAGGCCCTATTGAAATTGGTGATAATCGGATCAGATATATCTTCAACCGATTTCGGATTAATTGTGCACCAAACGGCCAATTTCAGTCCAAATGACCAAATGAATTTTGGCACACCCGACCGAATTCAGTCTAGAAGCATATATATATATATATATATATATATATATATATATATATATATATATATATATATATATACAACACAAGAATGATATTTGGATTCAGATGTCAGATCGGTTCAGATTTGGATATACCACCCATATTTGGCAATCTTCAAACGATTTCGGGTTTATTGTGCATAATTTGAAATGACCTGAATTTTGGCCCATCCGACCGAATTCAGTGTAGAAGCATCAAATTTGGTGAAAATAACTTCAGATATATCTTTAGCATTATAAATTCAGACAAAAACAAGGGAACTGATGTCTCTTTCCGAAACCTAGGTATTCCCTGCCTTACTCCCTGGTAAACATTACC